TCGGGTTCAGTGGCCTCGAGCTGCTTGTTTCACCAGAACCGCGGGGGGGGGGGGGGGGGGGGGGGGGGGGGGGAGGACAGCCACTGTCACCCTCATCCTCTCCTTCTCTTCCTCCTCCTCTGCAACTTGTACGGCGAGGGCGAGCTCTTCATCCTCCGCCTCTTGCTCAAAGCCCTCGGCTTCAACTTCAGCCACTAACTCTTTCTGCATCTCAATGGCGAGGGAGACGTCACCACCGGCCGAAGGCTTCTCACTCAGGGACTCCGCGTCGGAGAAGACTTCCTCTTCAACCGAGGGCTCCCCCGATATGTCTTGGGAATCACTAGCGGACGACATTTTTTATAGGCTGATGAATACGGAAGATCTAAAGTCTGAAGGCACCCTAAGAAACTCTAGATACTTAAGTCTAAGGCCACAGGAGCAAAACTCACCAAGTAAACGGAGAACAGAAGAGAGACTGACCTTGAAAGCTGGGGATTCAACCGAAGGCTGGAGTTTCTCTCTCTAGAAATTTTGGCAGAGCTTCGCTAACAATATGATCGCACAAGAGAAATGATGCCCGGCCATGGGGTATTTATAGGCGCCCAGAGCCGGGCTTGGGCCCAAAAACCGGGCCTCCGGTCACAAAATCGTCATTACGAGCCGTGGTTTCGCCCAACCAGTAACGCCGCCCACGGACGGCCAACGAGCACGCACCACGTGGAAGCCCCCCCCCAACGGCTCTATTTTGACGTTAGGTATTCCAACGGCTATACTTACAACGACTATATTCTGGGAGCTCCCGGCTATATTTAGCAGACCACTCCTTCATCAACCAAGAAACTAGCCCCCAGGCTTTTTACTTCACTCCACTTCATCAAGAGGAGCCCCCGGGTGCACTTACCCAGAGATGCTCCCGGTTTATGCCCCTCATACTACATAACAAATGCCTTCGGGCTCACTCCTTCAGAAGCCCACGGCTTCATAACGGGCACACCCCTCGAGGATTCCCCCCTCAACACTTTGAGGACCAGGTAGCCCCCGGGGAGTACACCTCATTGACGGATAGCCTACGGCACACAGGTAACGGGAGCCCTCGGATACCCTCCTCACCAACTGATCAACAAACAGGGGACCCCCCGGTAACACTTCAACCACTACTCACATTCATCACGCCCTCGATCCCCAGATTGAGGGACTCCCCTTCGGCACCTCCAAGGATATCAACAGCAAGCCTCCGGCTAATCAACACACGCGCCCTTAGAACAAGGATAGCCTTCAGCATCAGCATTGTACTCCATTTCAAACCAGGGCTTCACATTTTCGATTCATCGTTGGGGGAATCCGGTGCACTCTTTTTCCCTCATTAGGATTTTTTCCCACAGGGTTTTTCCTAATAAGGTTTTTAACGAGGCATCCCCCCAAAATGAAACGAAAAGCGTCAGCCTTCGGCCCAATACAGCAACATGATTACTCTACTCCTTTTCACCACTTTGCAAGTGCCTCAAGGAGTGGGGGACTGGAGAACCCCCTCGGGAAAAATCACAAAAAGTGCAAAATGCTAAAAACTCCCGCAAACAGCAAACATGACCCCTCAAGTCCCGACATGTGGGTAACTGAGGGACTGCCCTCGGCAGAATAAACAAACAGCACACTACCCACAACTCTACAAACTACAACGGAACAATGGCAGAGGACAAACACAATTACTCCTTTTCCCTCAAGTACCTTTCGGCAAAAGGAGTGAGGGACTTCTGATGGAGTATATGGCCCGGGAACCCCCGGTCCACAGACTCCTACTACTCCAATAAAGGCCCAATAGGCCCAGGAAGCACAACAGGCCCAAATCACAGCGCCCAGAGTACCAAGCGGCCCACAGTGCGCACTAGGGGTGCCTTCAGCCCCCTGGCCGAAGGCTCCAATTCTCACAGGAGGGCCAAATCAGGAAAACAAAGTTACTGGGAGAAAACGACGAAAATCAGTAGCCCTCGGTACCTAGAGCCCTCAGCACTAAGGAGGTCCCCGGTACTCAGAGCCCTCGGCTAATCAGCTACAGACGAGGGCACCTTTTCCGACATAATATCCGCTCCACATGCGCATGGATCATCGTACCAAGTACGACGTCATATCCAACAGCCGCATTAAATGCGGTCACATGCGATTGCCAGCGCCAACCAGTTGAGGTGACCCCTCGGCCAATGGATGCTTGACATGTGTCCCTGTCTGGCATTTATTGCTACTATAAGTAGCACCCCATTTCCTCGTTGTAAACCATGCTCAAAAGCCTTAACTTACATATTCAATACACTTTCTCTCTCTTACTTGCTCTGACTTCTCTCTAGTTATTCCCCGTAATAACCCCTCGGATAAGCTACCCCGGGTATACTATCCATCAGTGCATATGCACGAGTACTATACTGGTAGTGTTTTAAATAAGCATGCAGTCCATGTTAGGACTTGGGGTTATGAAAGTGTAACAATCTCAAAATTTACACATTTTAAAACTTGAATGTAAAAGCAAACATTTGAAATTAAAATTACTAGACGAAAACTTAATGGTTTATATGGTTGATAAATGTTTATTAGCAAAAAATAATTTCATTAATAATCATCAACCTGTATAACATGAACAATACAATATGGTGGAGATCCAACCCAAGTACCATCAGCCCTTGAACAGGCTTCCCTTGCAAGCGCATGGGCAATCCGATTCACCGACCGGTGCACAAACTGAACAACAATATCAGCAAAACCTGTCATCAAGTGTCTAATATTCTTAAAAATATTATCATATAATGCAGTCCCTCCATGGGTGCTACTTCTTTCACAACTTGCTGAACATCTGACTCCACAACCACACTTAAATTGCACCAAAATAACCAACGGTTAGAAGGTAAATGGAATCATTTGTTTCCAATAAATGTCTATAGGTAAATGTTTATAGTTAAGTGGATAAGAATGTCAAATGTATTAACTTTTTTGTACCTAATTAAATCAAAATAGTAATGAATTTAGGAAAAATGGACAAAAATAATCTCAACTATTAGTGACCTGTTTGAAATCATCCAAAGTATCAATTATCTCAAAATAATCCCACCTATTGAAAAATCTTCTCAAAATACTCCGATGACTTATAATTATCCATAAATAACTTATAATATTTATGAGTAAGTTGAGTATTTTCAGAAGATTTTTCAATAATTGGGATTATTTTGAGATAATTGATACTTTGGATTATTTCAAGCAGATGACAAATAGTTGGGAATTGAGATTAGTCTTGTCCTTTATTCCATGAATTTAAAGTAGTCTAGAAATATTATATATGTAGCGACTAAATACAATAAAGAAAACAATGGGCAAAAACATATGACCTCTGGATGAATTAAACAACTGTTTGTGTGTGTCTATATATATATATATATATATATAGGGGTGAGATCACATACAAACCATGCTTAACTCACTAACCTACAAACTCAATAATATGCAGCACTTTGAACTTTAATATGCAATACAAATAATGTAAAGATGCACTCTTTGAATTTCAACATGCAATACAAATAATGTAAACATGAAATTGCTATTTTATGGCTTGAATAATATGAAACACTTTGAACTTCAATGTGCAATACAAATAATGCAAAGATGATTTGAATGAGATGACTAGTTTGTATGTGATCTCACCCCTGCATCTTTACATTATTTTTACTGCATATTGAAGTTCAAAGTGATGCATATTATGGAGTTTGTAGGTTAGTATTTTAAGCATGGTTTGTATTTGATCTCTTATCTCTCTCTCTCTCTCTCTCTCTCTCTATATATATATATATATATATATATATAGAGAGAGAGAGAGAGAGGGGGGGGGGGGGGGGGGGTTCCAGTAAGAACGGATCTTAGGAGAGAAATGAGAACAAATCTAGACCGTTGGAATGAATTATGTGGAACTGAATTATGCATTTGGTGAAATAGAAATGTGCATTAGATGATATTGAAATGTGCATAATTAAAATTTAAACTCACATGTGCATGAGGTGAAACTGAAATGTGCATAATTAAAATTTAAACTCACATGTGCATGAGGTGAAACTGAAATGTGCAGAATAAAAGGTACAAAAATAACATCACATCGCACCTTTTATTCTGCACATTTTAGTTTCATCTAGTGCACATTTCAAATTCACCTAATGCACAATTTAGCTTCACATAATGTCACTACATTGTACCATTTGTGCTGCACATTTCAATTTCACCTAATACACATTACAAATTCATCCAATACACATTGAATTTCACATAAAACAAATCTAACAGTCCAGATTCATTCTCATTTTTCTCATAAGATCATGTTCTTATTTGAACCAAAACCTATATATATATATATATATATATATATATATATAGAATAAAGATCAAATGAGAACAATGCTTAACGTGAGAACGTAAGAACATCACATTTACCCTAACGTGTTACACAATGAAGCTTGTATATTGCACATTTTCACATTTTCACAATATTTACCAAAATGCCACCGTGTTTATTTAATATGACTTAATCCGAGCAAATTGAAAATGTGCAACAAAATAACTCCATTGTGCACCACGTTGATTTAAATGTGAGTGTTCTCACGTTCTCACGATAGGCATCGTTCTCACTGGAACCGCACCCTATATATATATATATATAATGCATTACAAATGGTTCATTACATGCATGAACATACAATTTAATAAATAAACAACAATAAAACTTCTAAGCCACTCGGCACACCGCACACCTGGAGGAAAATTTTGAAATGAGTAGCTGACGTTATTGTCTTGTCTCATGTGGCAGAATTCAATCTTAAAAAAAAGTGCTCTGTATGAAGATTGTTTTATTTAAAATGTACTGTGTGTGGAACTTTGAACCTGGTTTAGTGGCTTTATTTGGATTTGTTATAACTATAAGATACTGTTATCCAATAGAACATTAGAACATCATAAAAAGTTTAACCCAATGTAATTTAAAGATGCTAAAAATCTAAATCGAGATGATCCTAATTAATGAAATGTGCACTCTTGAGGTGATAACATTGGGATTAGCTTAAAGTGCAAAAAACGCTACTATCTTCAATCCAGAAAAGCTCAATACAAAGAAATGCTGCATTTACAAATACATTATTTGTCAATGAAACTTAACTACATATAAAAGGAAAGACAGAAAATCATCAGCCAACGAACTCACAAAGGAAAATAAATCTAAACTAGAGTAGTCATGGAGTCTAATGTGTAATATAGCTGGTCCTTTTCCCTATCCCACAAGCTTCCTATCAAAGCTGCAACCATGAGGATCACCCTGGCCCCATAACAGCGGCAGCCAATCTTGTAGTAGCCAGCAAAGTTCATCTGGTATTTTGTTATGAGGTAAAGATACATTGCAGCTCCTCTGCAATATCATATGACAAAACTATTTTAAAAGCCAATGGATACATTACTATAGAGACTAATAGTTAAAACAGTGCTACTCTACAAATATATTAATATGGTGGGACTTGTATGAATGTATCTTGTATGACTAGTCGTGTAGAATACTAGAAATAAGATGCACGATGAAGTTTTCCTTTGAATAATTCATTTGCGTATAATTGTTTTACAACATTTAAAATTAGTCATGGAAAGAAAGAAACACAGAAAGAGGAACCAATGGGTTTTCATTGTGTCCTAAATCAGAATTCAGAACCAGACATGTGTATATATACTCTCCCGTCTTCAGGGAAACAAAAATAAGAGACCGAGATACATGACCAAGCACTAATGTATTAAACAAGGAAAATCCATTTGTACACTTTTTTGAACACACCCCCTAATTGTGTGTACACATGCAATTCACTAAAAAAAAACAGAACTGGTGCACACATACAATTCCAGCATGTACACGACTACACGGTGGTGTACACGTTTCACCGTGTAGTGAGACAATAGAAGACAGTCATAAGAGCTTTTTAAGTGAAAGCAACGGTCTGAAGAAGGAAGCTACAATGGTCAGGTAAACATCCTGAAAGAAAGTCTACTACAACATTGGAAACCACAAAATTTGACAGACTCCGAAGCTTGGTTGACCCAAGAAAATTCGGGTTTTACAGAAAAAAGTGCAGAAGATGCAATATCCTCCGCACAAGCAAAACATAAATTCACATTGTATACCTTGCTCAACAACCAGAGCAGAATGATTCCAGACTCACTTTCTGGTTAGAAAATAATAATTATCAAGATGGCAAACGCCGCTTCATATCATGTAAGTGCATAGCTAACTCATCTCTCATAATTCTCCCTATCGGATCTACTTCCTTGCACTTCTGTCTCGAATACCCAGAGTCATGATGACGAATCAAGGCAGCATCTTGGTGCAAGCAGTCCCCACAATCAATAATAATATTATGAAGCAAACAACAGACCAATATAATACTAGGCAGTTTTCGCTTATCAGGTCTCCACATAACCTTACTCAAAATTCTCCACACACCCTTCAATTGAGAGAATGCCTTTACTGCAAGTGATCTTGCAGTCTCATGCGCCTCATTGAAATCCTTCATCCTATCTGAGAGCTCGCCATCATCATCTTCATAGTAAGAAGTAATAAGCCAAGGAAGAAGAGGATAACCAGAACCACCAACTATGTACTCCCTAACCTCTCCTCTTTGAAATGTTATTTTGGCACTTCCATTTAAACGGTCTCCAGCTTCACACAGTTTGTAAAATCCAGAACATTTCAACAGTCTGGAAGTAGACATCCCCCCAGGCCAACCAGTCACTATATCTAAAAATCTCATCTCATTGTCCACAATCCCTTGGAGAAGCATGCTGTAATTCTTCTCGTTATCACACCAATCATCTGAAGTTTGAACGGTCGGAAGAGTCATTATGATGTGGGTAGTATCAATTGCCCCACAACAATTAGGCAGTCCAAAGGACCGTTCTAACTCTGACTTTATATTCTCCACTTTATTGGGACCGGGCCACTTAAGGTGGTGTCTGGCACGTTCTTCCATCGCCTCGATGAACCTCCAGGTCACCTGAGAAACAGTGGACTGCCCAACCCCAAATGAAGCTCCGACTGAAACTTGTGACTCCCCAGATGCTAACCTTCTTAAGGCTATTGCAACCTGTTTTTCAACACTTAGTAGCCTTCCTTCGATGTTAATTAGACCTGAAGGAGGCCTCGAGATTAGATCCTCTCTTACCAGCGAACATATGTAATCAAATGTCTTTTTCGAAACACGGAAGAAGTATTTGAACCCTTCTTCCTCATCTGAGTGACCTGGAAATGCATATATGTTGATTCAGCTTCTCACAAACAACAAAGGAAAAAGTCTACAAAGCTTTAGAAATAAGAATTACACACAACAAACTACTGTTCTTGATCTACAGGGGCCAATTTCAGATCTAAGAACCATAAAAGCTAAGCAAGTGATATGCTCTTTTCTTAGAAAGATAGAGAGAACTTGATATTCAAGTATAAAACGTAAAGGTGAAAACTTCAAACGAGTGATTTCAAGCTAAAACAGCACTTCCAAGAACCGCGACACAAACCATCGAAGTTAACTGGCAAAAATACCTCATTGATTTCACTAAGAGCAGATAAGAAGAATTGGGAAAAAAAAATTAAGGATTTGAAGGAGGAAAGGGGATTGAGGATGACCTGAGGTAGAAGAGTTCTTGTACCAGAAACAATCCCACCACTCAGAATCAATTGCCTTGTTATCCCCATGAACGGAACTAATTATCTTGCCGCTCTTTATCTTTCTCTTCTTCAGTTTGGGGGCATCTTCGTTAGATTTTCCGGGCGGAGCCATTCACCAGAACTGAAGACTCCACCGGTTTGAAAAATTCCGGTTCTGTTTCCTCTTCAGGAAAATCGGGCGATTTATTCGTTTACCTCTCGAAATGCATAGTACGACGCCGTTTCGTTTCTGGCAATATATATCTTGCTCTGCGAATAAATCCCACCGAACGAGAATAGCAGCGGGAGCACGAAATGGAAGGTGAAGTAATGGAACTCTACGAGCTTAACTACTCGGATCTCTTGCTTTTGTCTTCAGAAAAAATCGCAGAGTCGCCCGAAGAAGCTCAACGGCTTGAATCTGTAGCTAGAATGGTGATGGAAACCCTAGGTCCAAACGGGCCGGGCCTGCTTGCCATCACCGGAGTCTCCAGAGCTTCAAGTTTCCGGAGAAAGTTACTTCCTTTAGCCCGGAAGCTCGCCCTGCTCAGCAATGAAGACCGTAAAAAGCTTCTCAAGGTAAATCGTTTTCTAACATTTGTTTTTCCAGTCGCGCTTAAGACATTTATCCATAAATTGTGCATTATTTTTCTTTCGCACTCGAGGTCAATTATGTTAAGTAGTTAAGGAAAGAATGGACAATTCCCGGCGTAAAAGCAATGTGGAATTCAGCTCTAAGTTACTCATTGACAGAGAATAAAGATATAGCACTCCTATTATGGAATTTGACATTGTTTTTACTCTTACTTAGATCAATTTCTTAAAGATAAAAATGCCTTCTAAATGAACAGGAACATAATTTGGGGAGTGATGTTCCATTAAAGAACTTGGAGAGGATTGTATCATCATTTGCAAAGAAACTGGAGTATGACAAGAGGTTTAAGAGTAATTATAATTATTCGTGTGAAAGTGGTCAGCTTAGGGCTGTTAAAGGAGATGGACAATTAGAGGTTGATCAAATAGGATTCAAGAATTTAGGAAACATCTTCAACGAGCTAGGGTTTTGCATGATGGAGGTAGGACTTCGTATTGCACAAGTCTGTGATAAATTGATTGGAGGGAATGAGCTCCAGATGAGCTTGTTGGAATCTGGCACAGCAAAAGGACGTCTTATACATTATCATTCCACAATTGACAATGAACTCATTAAAAACGCTGTTGGGACTAACATAAGTGTAAAGAAGGGAGCCAAACCAATGGCATGTGATGAGTGGCAGCAATGGCATTATGACTATGGCATATTCACTATATTGACTGCGCCAATGTTTATATTCTCATCGTCTAACCACAAAGGGTTATTTCCAATAACTAAAGAAATTAAGAACCCGTGCATCCCTTGTGATCAAGAATCTTCTTCTCCAAGTGGGCACACATATTTGGAAATATTTCATCCAAGTAAAGACCAGACATTTATGGTGAAAGCACCTCCAGAGAGTTTAATAGTGCAGGTTGGCGAAGCGGCTGATATACTATCCAAGGGGAAGCTCCAAGCAACACTTCATCGTGTATGCAGACCAAAGGAACCTAAAAACTTGAGCAGGGAAACATTTGTAGTTTTCTTACAGCCTCCATGGAGCAAACAATTCTCTCTCTCAGATTACCCTCTTAACAAGCAATTACACTCAAATGATCATAGTTGCAGGTTTTGTACTGAGGAAATGCTAAGTAGAGAAAAGATAGAGTCAGAGACACTAAATATATGTAGTATTGTTCCACCACTTTCATCAAGGTTAAGAGATGGGATGACATTTGCTGATTTTTCTCGTGCAACTACAAATCAATACTACGGAAGTAATGGCTTGCAGTCAAGTAGATAGCTCCATGGTATGAGTCCCTATAAAAGTGTGTGTTATTATTTCTTATAGTGGATTGTATAAAAAGTCCAGAGTTCAAGATTGAATCACATGTTGGGGCATCTGCCTGCAACGGGTTCTCTTTGCTTCTTAGGAGTACATACTTGTTTATGAGGTGAGGACTAGGATTTTGAAATGACCTAATGATGTGTTTCTTATAGAGAAGTTTTGCCATCTGTGCCATAACTTATAGTGAAGGAAAATCATTCACTAACAAGGTGTTTGGCCTGGGTAGCAGCGAACATGGCTATTTTATTCTCACTAACAACTAGACGGCCTTTAGGCCCATATTTGTGGATTCGAGTATGGCTTTTGTTGATCTTCGAAGACAGGCGTCATGCATACCATCCGTCCTCACCGTGTGATCTGAAAATCAAAGGTCCTCGGTGTATAATGGTATTAAGATGTGGGATGTGAAAAAATGAGAGGTACAAATAGTGGTGGACGCAGAAAAATAGTCACGAGTCCCTACCATAATGTTACTCTAATTAATATAAAATCAATAAAAAAGGTTAAATATTAAAGAAGCATAATGTTTCATTGTTAATGTACATTATCAAAATATTAAGATAGTCATAACGCACAAAATTGCATATACAATTCATTCTACAATTCTACAAAATGTACCCCCTAGGTTTCATTTATTGGAAATATTCTATAATAGAATCATCACCGATAGTACAAAAAACATCTCTTTAAACATATGTAACTAACCAATCTTTTTTTGGGATAAAATGTGTGTGTGTGTGTGTGTATATATAGACACACACATATATATCCAGAAAAATAGCATAATACAATGCGTCAAAAGTATAAAAAATAACCATCTAAGCTAGCATGCTAACCTAAAATAGTATCTACTGTATTTGCCCCCCACCGCCACCTTGTGACAGGGGTAAGGAGAGAGGATTTTTAGAAGTCCAAAAAAACACATCACAAAACAGTCCAAAAATAGCACGAGACAGGTCCCGACTCATTCATTAATCAAAACCAAATCCAAAACTAGTTTGGGCCAATGAAGGCGGTAAGGAATTTATTGTTTATAGATTTTGATGATGCTAGCTTAATTAGGACATTAGAGTACCACTTAGAAAATTTGTATTAGAAAATTTCCTATGTATGTACTAAGGGTATTTGACAAACATAACTGCCTAGGTCTTCTGCGTTGCCTCTCAGACAGAACTGCTTAGAAGACAGTAACTCCAACAGAACCCCTCAGCCTCTTGTTTTGCAACAAAATTGCTCTCAGAACTGCTGACACTTAGAAGATTCTGAAGAAGCCGTTAAACTAACGGTTATTCCCTAATGGCTAGGAGCATCTCAACGAAAGTGATACTATTCACACATTAAATGCTCATTTAGTGGCTTCCACACATTGAGATATTTATAGCACATGATTGACCAAAGAATCTATGAGAATAATATTTAATTCTTCCCAAGATAGTAAGGCGGCTACTTTGGAAGAAACAACCGGTCAAATCAACAGTGCATGCATTTAATGAAGTTGTCCTCTACACTCTAACGGGAAGACATCTCTCAGTATATTTAGATACAACTCGAAAGACTGGTAAGATGCGAACAAGAACAACAACGAATAACTTCCCACGTTCAAACAATCTCTTGGGAGCTCATCTTCTCCATATTCATCACAAGAGATTAAGCTTAAAGTTGGATAGAAAATCACTCACCTTGTTCCAACAAAAAGCATCCTCCAGTACTTCAACTCTTCAAAAGCTACATCTACATAACTCTCACGAAGAACGTTGGAGAAACCTCTTTTAATCTCTCAAAGAACTCTTCTTGTCTAAGAAGGACGCCTCAAGTAATTGGAGTAAAGTGGTGATACTTCAAGTAAAGCTCAGTGAAAAGGGTCAGTCATCAGGAAGGTAGGAAGAGCATCCCAGGTGACAACTAGACTTGAAGAAGACGTGGAGTGCTTCTTAAGTGCTAGTACTAATTGTTGTAATTTGATCCTTTGCAAGCTTAGTGGAACAGTGGACTAGAGGAACACGTTGTTCCTTGAACCTCTATAAAAATTCATGGTGTTATTTACTTACTTCACTTAATACTTGCTCTTAAGAATTAACTGATTCTCTCTTAAGGACTTGGACTTCGTGTTCAGTGAATCTTGTCCTAAGATATAAACAGAAAGGCAAATCTGTCTTAGCTTTTCCGTTAGGCTACCCTGATCAGAATACCATCCGTTGCTGGTCAATTCTGTTGAACTTGACCAACTCTGTAAGACTTAGTGTCTTCACAGAAAGAATTTTTCAAAACCAGAATAGTCCATTCACCCCCTCTAGACTGTTCCTTGTACAACCGAGACCAACAAAGGCCCGTCTCTAGGCAAATCCCATCAAAACCACAGGGGGCCCCAACTAGTCTCGAGCCGAACTAACACCCAACAGAAACCAAAACAACAACTCCTTATTGCATCCTCTTCGCAGCCCAGCCCACTAGCCCAACCATATGCTCCCAGCGAACTAAGCGAACTAGGGTTAGAACTAGGGTCAGCAGTAGGTCAGCTCAAGATGAAAAGCCCACCATCGCTATGCCTCAGCGTCGCAGTGGAAAGGCATGAAACCTAAAAACAATCCTAGCTACAGTACACCAACAAGATAGCCTCAGACATCAAGTCCAATCATCGCAGGCCATGTCATCCCCGTCATTAACCGTCCCAAACCTCCCGTTGGCAATTTTCGGCCGATACCACTGCCCCCCAAAATCCCTTCTGCTGTCCCTCGCGGCTCCAAACTACAACCGGCCACCCTCGGTAGCGGCCAACTGGCGATTCCCCGGTAACCCAAACCTTCCGGTTAGACGTCCTCTCGTCCTCATCAGTTCCTACGTGGGTCCCTGACCCCTTGAGCAACATCGGGCACTACCAGGGAACGGACCAACAACTGTAGCACCCATATACAACCGATCCAACTTCGGCGCTTTGCCAAAATGGCGGTCACTGCGAGTGTCGGAAGCTTTCGCTTTTGGACGAGTGCTGACCGCAAGGAGTGAAGCGACGACCATGTGGTAGAGCTCCAATACCATATAAATCCTTGGTTCGACCTTCCTCATCAAAGTGGCTACTAGCTTGTGGGTCAACCAAGCCGAAGCTTGATCAAAGCTTTCGCCATAGCTAGTCTGGGGAGTAATCACACCCCCACAGATGCAGATTCTCATGCCATCACAGATGGGAGCTGAGCTCGGGAGGATCATCAATACAGGGTTGTCGTTATGCTCACAAACCAAGAGAAAGGAGGAGAGAAGACCATCAGAAAAACGGGATTTAAGCTAACCTTCGTTTCTGGGTTGATGTCGACAATAGGCTTCAAATTACGCTCGAAATCCGTCCCCCATCACCGGTTTCTGCCTAACACCACTTTTTACCATCTTCGGCGACACCCTCAACCCATGTGCACAGCTACTGGGCAGTTCCACAGACTTGACTTCTTTAGGATAAAATTCTGCCAATTTAAGCAAGAATTCCCTATCAAAAGCTTCAAAAGAGGAGGAAGAACATAAACAAGACACAAAATGCAACAACTCAATGGTTGCCACATCAAACCTGCTATCAAGCTATGCCACGAATAAATTGACAATCTCATGTAAACAATCATACTTTTATTTATGCATATTGGTTATACTTGATTTTTTCCTTTAACATAGTCCTCATCCATAGAAGGCACATCTATATGAAATTTGTTACAAAAAGTAACAACCTCATCAAATAAATCATCACATCCGATATCTGTTTTCATTCTCCTTAAATGCTATTTGACAAATGTGCCTAGTTTCAAAGCAGTCACAAGATCTTTTTCACGCCTTTGCAAATTCCGGTGAGAGATAATGTGTAATAGCCAAAAGATTGATCATCAAATGAAGCATGAAACAAAATTCAAAAGTGCAATTCATCCAGCAATGAAGTTGTTTCACCACTTTTATCATGATGATAGCCATTATATTTACTTGTGTTTAACATAAGTATTTATAAGTATTTGTTGATGAAAAGAAGAGAAATCAGACAAATACCTTCAGGATGAGAACTAGAGCATAAAACATCGCGATGAACGACTTTTTGGACCAAGATGATGACGTTCTGCCCATAATTCGAGTATAACTTATTGTAGAGAATTCGAAATCACTCGATTTGAATTTCGTGTGAATTTAAACTCAATAAGGTACAAATGTTATGAAGACGTCATGGCCAGAATATGAAAGGATCAAGACCCAATCAACCAATAAAGTCAGATGTTGCTGGTGGAATTTCAGGATGCATACCTCTCAATATTTTATCCATATCGTTTGATTGGATGAATAAAATCACATCATTCAAGTTTTGGTGGATATAAGACTTCATTATCTACAACTTTGGTGAAGAAAGCATGTCCAAATTTGTAGCAGAACATTCCCAAAATCCTAGGACAAAACCGGCGCCGGAATTGCACCAAATCGGCGCCGGTTGCTTGTAAAATTTGCGACGCCGGATTTGCCGAAACACAACCGGCGCTGGTTAACCCCAAACCGGCACCAGTTACCCCAAATCTGCAGAAAACCAGACAACGTGCTTGAATATTTTGAGTGGATTTGAAGATATTTGGAAGGTATGGCTCGGAAATTTCGTCCCAAGTTGATTGAGGATCATGAATAGATCATCAAAGATCATTTTCAAGCCTATATAAACCCTCCAATTCACCCCAAATTCATCATCCAATCTCAATTTAATTCATTAGTTCATAACTAGTTTTTATAGTTTTTCTTTGTTCTTCATGGTGTTCTTGAGGTGTGGAAGCTCATTTCTTCCAACCATTGATGTTTAGGTAATATTTCCTTTATATTTACATGTTCTTCTATATTCAAAGTATTGTAATTTTGATTAATATGAGCGTTAGAGGTAATCTTCGAATACCTCAATCACGTATTTAAATAATTTTTAAAAATTAAGCAATGATCTGTAATGACAAGTGTTAAATGGTGATTCAATCATCTTCATGTTTTTACAAGTCCAGCTTCTAAAACACTCACCAAAGCACCTGCTTGTTTATCTCGAAGGCATTCTTGTCGTTTATTTGTTGAGCAAATTTCATTAGTTCCACGACTAACATGAAGAAGTAACCAATTAACCTCATGTTGTTCTATTACAGCGGCAACGAGTGACAAATGTAATTGATAAGCTAAACAATGTACATAATATGCAAAGGGATTTTTATTTTGAATTAGAGTTTTCAAGCCACCAAACTTACCTCACATATTACTTGGTCTGTCATAACCTTGTCCTCTTGTGTTTGAGGTGCACAAACCATATTAAGCTAACATGTTCTCAAGAGATTCTTTAAGAGATGATGCAAAATAGAACCATTAATAGCAAAAAAACGCATAACAACAACCACTTGCTCTATACTGGAAACATCACCTGATTCAACTAATTTAGCAAAACACCATCTCTTAGAGATGATGTTTTTGCGATATTAGTGGATGAATCGGGGCAT